GAGATGTGTTCACAGCATGAGCAACCTCTCAAACCCTGCCGGTACTCCACATTTACAAGAAAATGTCGGACTGGACGACGAGCCAATGCAAACCTGCTACATCCACCCAGGCAGATATCTGCCAAACCAGGCCAATATCGACCAACTGCATACCGGTATGTCAATGCCAAACAGATCCTGCAGGAGAAGACTGGGATATTGGCGTCCAGTGTGCAGACACCAGTCACATCTCCTGTGTCTTTTGCAGCGTACAGGATAGACTCATCACTATAGAATCCACTACTCGTCGTGATTTTTATTTGTAGAATACATGACAGGCGTATTCAATGTGCCTCGCAGGACTGCGAGATGCTGCAGAAGACCAGGTTCGACCTTTCTGGACGACCATTCACCGACGGTGGGCTACACGATGCTGGAGGAACTAGATTCCAGTGAAAACCCAAGATTCCTTTGCTCCTGGACGCTCCGACGTGTTGTGATATCTGCCAGGTGCGCAGTAACTAGTATTTTCATCGCTATAGCGAGGACGACCCCGATCGGCAAACTCTCACTCACAGCCATCACCAGCCTATCAAAACCATCACTTGGCATCCCCCAGAGGTATAGGAGAAAGCCAAAACAGCTCACAACAAACAAAAGCTAAGGACGATGGAAAGAGAGCATGTCAAAAAGAAGACGAACAGTATGAAGTTCAAATGGTTTTGAACACTCGTTCCACCAACTATACCACTTTCACGAAATCGTGACGCCATTTTGTTTTAACACGCATACGGTCCATTTACATTGAATATTTTGTTTAATATTGTATTGCTCACCACAAACTTTGAACCATTTCCCGTCAGCGCCACGGCATGATGGAGCAAATAGGGCTTTTTGCAATCAGGACACTGGTTCAGAACACTGCACACACATACACAACACATGCAAGTAGGTAGAAATTCACAGCAAGACTCACATTAGAAAACCCCACCTTCTTCTGTACATGAAAATCGGCATAAACATTACCACTTGGAGCTGAACATTGTATTGTCTGACAGGTTTTTTAAGCCCTCCTGCTCCCAGCCCGTGCAATCTCCATAGTTTTAGACAGGACCAGACGACGACGACGGAAACACAACTAGGCTTGATGAACTCCGAGTCAAGACGAAGACTGTTTTTCACACCACAGCAGCACGTGAATCTACCAACCCACGTACAATATGTCGTACACAAAATAATGTAGTACAACATTTGATTATCCAATCTCCTCTGAGCACAGACCTCTAGTCAGGTATTCAGCTACTGTGAATGTTCTCGATCGCAATATGTATAGGATATACCCTGAGCTGAAGTGTATATGGAAAATATACACCAAATACAAACCGAGGCCGAGGTTTGTTTGATTGTGTATAATTCTTTATTTTTTTGTATATTTATATGGGGTACGGAAAAATGTGCAATGTACACATTGCAGGACCTGCCAGTAGTAGGGTGTGGAGCCATGAGTGAATGTACAGTGGGAACCAACAAATTAGTTCTCTCCGCACGTATCTGATACCATTATGGAAATCGCTTTCTCGCTGCTCTAGTTAACGAGATCGCTCCATGATCGTAAGCAATGGCGGGAGATGATGGTCTGTCCTTTTTGCAATGGTGCTAGAATAGATCAAGTTTGTCAAAACGAGAGAGCTTGGAAGCTCAGGGCCCTGCGCTATGCTTTGTTGCCTAGCTCATCGTGCATGTTGTTAGAACTGATGAAAATGCTTTTTCCTTTTTCCAAAAATATTGTGGCCAGCTGTCTTTGCTGGTACGGTACAGTACGGGACAGATACGGGATAGCGCCAGGCGTGACACAAACAAACAAACACACAAACAAACACCAAATTAAAGCTGTGTGGACCCTGGCTAGCGCCAGACGTTACTGAAGTAACGTCTTCTGCATAGCTACGGGAATAAATAAGAACTTGCGTTTGGTCATCCGGGCCCATTCGAGTTGCTGGAGCGGCCACCTTGTCGACAAACGACCCGTAACCGATGTGATAGTTACGCGTAAGGTTATTCAAGCTCTCCACTGAGCAACAGCAAACACATTCACACACCCACACGACACATATACATGTACACGCACACGCACATACACAATATTGTTCACACACACAAACACACACACACACACGACACACATACATGTACACGCACATAAACAAACACATATGTTCACACACACAAACACACACACAAACATACACACACCGGGTCAGATCCAGGTCTGTTCAAGTACGGCTACTGCAGGATTTCTAACATCAGGGAGTTGAAAATATTTTCGGCCTCCCTTATGTACATGTATATAGTATTCCCAACTGTGAACCGGTTCTTTTTCCAAACGGGTCCAAAGACCCCCTCCCCCCTCCCCCCCCCCCCCCCCCCCAGTTGGGTCGTTGGCCCGGCTGACCCGGCTCTGGAGCAGACGCTGATCTGATACCAAAGACATACTAGTAGGTCTGAAGCATGAAACTGAACCAGGCTATTCACAGACCTGACCAATTTATCCTTCCAAACACATAGATCATCTTCAGTACAATGGATTACTGAAGACGGGTTTTTCACACTACTGACCAATTGCAGATGACAGCAACTTCATGGCGTCAAGATGATAACGCATGGAGTATGAATGATCCATCAGATAGTACAGATCCAAGGGGTAGTCGCGTGCTGGACTGATGGAGATCTCCATGGTTACGCTGCCATCTAGAAGACAGACAAATATAGCACAGATGCCACACGGGCGGAAACATCGAGTGCGACCAAATCACACAGGCATGAAAGCATTCAAAAACCGCACATGATCTCTCTACAGCCTCTATCCACGTCAGGAGAGATTTGGTGAGAAGTACAGCCCTACACACAACGCTGTCTAAGCTGCAAAATTGTCTCACCTGTACGCAACTGTGTGGAGAATCGCTGTGGCCGCACCTGCACAGATGCACTGAATGGTAAGTTCTGAAGAGCAGACAGAACACACAAAGACATACCGAACACATCAACATTACACTGGTCATCAATAGTCGGATGGGATTGGAATGGGACTAGTCTGCAGAAGCAGTTGTATGGCATTGTAATGGTCACTAGTCTGTGGAAGCAGTTGTATGGGATTATCTCAAGTCGAATCAGAGATCTCCACTACAAGTCAGCATTGCTCTACACACAGTTATACATAATACTTGGTCCGGCTCATCGCAATTGTCGCTTGTCTATCGCCACTAAGAACAGGAGCTTTGTTACTGCTCTGTGAAATTGTCAATAGGCATAGTGAAGAAGCATGATAGATGAATACCGTATTTTACCGGTTGTAAGTCGACCCCGGTTATAGGTCGACCCCATATCCGGAGGTCTCAAATCTGTTTTTTAAAGTTTTCACCCAATGAAGCACTATTAACCACTCCCTGTTACTTACACATAAACAAATAATGTAAACATTCCTTATTGGAGGGTATAACGCCCCAATCCCTGAAAAAAGCCAATAACCTGGTAAAACCAGCACACGAAGCACAGAAACCATAATTATAATTTCGACTAGGCCTTTCATTCCATTACTCTTCAGGTCGAATACAACTTGCTTACTACCTTGTTACTCACCATTGTATTCGACCTGAAGAGTAATGGAATGAAAGGCCTAGTCGAAAAAATTATATGGTTTCTGTGCTTCGTGTGCTGATTTGCTTTCCTCCAACCAAAAATCTATTCAACCTGGTAACAATATGTACGTACGGTCCATTCGTGCATGCAGTGATGGTCATTTTTTGTAAGATACTTATAGTTTCAATTTTTTGAGGGACGCTTCACGCAGCTTCATTATACTTGAATCGTTTGCAGGCAACCTGCCTACACTCAAGAGAGCACTGCATTTCACACAATGCAGTGTGAAATGTGTGAAATGCAGTGCTCTCTTGAATGTAGTCAGGTTGCCTGCAAACGATACTTATAGTTCCCGGTTTTAAGTCGGATCCCGGTTGTAAGTCAACCCCCACCCTCTCTCCTTCTATTTTTAGTTGTAAAAGGCCGACTTACAACCGGAAAAAATACGGTACTCTCCGCCACAAGAAAAACATTTCAGCAATGGAATCTGGTGAAGCGAGTCGAAGAAGGGAAGCAAGGCTACAAGCAAATGTACAAAATAAATCAGCGAGGAAGCGCGTTCTTGCACTCACGCTTTTACAGGTCCAGAGTTCATTCAACTCTGCATCACTCGAGAGTTGCCGTTACTTGAGCTGATATTTGCTGGTGTCTAGCTGGTGTGGCGAAGAGTATCTCTTGCTTGCTCAGCCTGTCGTATGGCAGCAATGGGAAAGGAACAGTTGTGGCTGTCACTTCGGTGCTTGAAGGAACTGTTGTTGTATGAGCCCTTTAGACCCGTACACATTCCCGTATGCACACACTTCCGTACCCATATACATACACATCTGCACATCCCTGTACACACAGCCATTCATGCACTCCCCGCTGACCTTTGCCCTGCTGACCCTTTGCCTCCCTTACTGCATGCACCGTAGCCCTTTTCCCGCTCACCCTATTGGCGTATTGCCACTTACTGCATGCACCTCTTTTTCCCTCCATAGCTTTCGTTATATTCTGAAGGCTGCGCTTGCGCAGGGTGATTCTCCTAGTCGTTCTCCCAGTAGTTCTTACAGTTGTTCTTCTGGTAGTCCTCCGAGTTGTCTTCTCCTCATAATTGTCCCAGTCCTCTACTTTAGTCCTCTTTGTGTTCAGGCAATATAACTGTTATCATAACCTACAATTCCGTGCTGCCGTATAAAGAGTGTGATAAAGTAGAGTAGTAACGTAGAGTACAGTAGTAAGATACCATAATTATATAGACGGCGTACATAAGACAACACTGTGCACAGCGTAACCATGGTGACCTGGGTGTCACCACTGTGTGCTTCAACAAAGCCTTTGAATGAGGCATACAGGCCTCTCCAGACAGCTGGCATACGCTTCGCTGGATACGATGACCACGAGTCTTGTAATACTGCTGCTAGGTCGGACACAGTCTTCTTTGCCACCATCTGACATCAGCTTGCAGGCTTGCAAAGAATGCAAGGTCGTTGCAGTTCAAATCTGGCAACTGAGCTGTCTGGGTGACCACGCCGGCACGCGAATGTCCTCTGCCGTGCACGCGTGACTGTCACGCTCTCCGCTAGCGATGAAAACAAGTCACCGGAGTTCTGAGTCCTGCGCTAGACGAATTGCTTGTCCATCATCATGGTGGCTTCGAATTCGGATTTTGAAGTAGTCACTGAGAACTCCCCATCTCAGTGGTTGTGGGACGTTCTACCGTTCTCGGAAAAAAATAATGGCGAACCGTCCGCTGATTCGCGAGAACAGGGTCAGGAAAACAGCTTGGCAAACTTCAGGGACTGCATTTGGATAATTTTCCACCAGATAGTTGGCGAGTTGTCCAACGAGAGCATACCTGAACTCGCTCTCACGGAGTGGCGGATGTACGAAGCGTTGGCACCTGTGCTGCAGAGGAGGAAAGCCGAACTGTGGGCACTCCTCAGAACGCCAAGAGCGCTACTCGGCCGCACTCGCACCATAATCAAGTTACAAGTGGGCTGGCGTAAAAAAGTGAAACCAGCCACATGTATGTCTCACCTGAGCCAGGTGGACATCATAAGGCTGTTGCACTCCCGCACTTTCGCCGAACCCGGTCTGCGAGAAGCACCTGAGACATTGTAGACGAACTCTACGGCTGGGCGACAGATTGATGTGCTATGTTGGTTGGCGATATGTGCTTACTCTGCAGGTGTATGAATCCAGGACCTGTGACAATGAGCCAGGAAGTCAGTTACCCTGCTACAGTTTCGGTCTTCGGGTCGCTGCGCTTGGCTTTTCGCAACACAGACAGTGAATGGCCAGATTCCCACTTCCCAAAAAGTCCAACACATCGCGATTCAAAGCGCCAGTCGGGATCATTTTTTTCTTTGTTTCCTCCGTTGATCTTGCCACCAGAACCTCCCAAACAAAAGTAAGTTAGATATGGCGATTGGACTGGGTTTTACCTGTCAAGAAGTGCGTGGGAGATAAGCGACAATTGCGATGAGCCGCACCAAATACAGTAAAACCAGTGACTAACGACCACCCTTTGGTGCCAGAGAAAGCGGTCTTTAGTGGCAGGTGGTCCTTAGTTAGAGGTTTGCACTGCACAACCATAATTATACGAATGTGAGCCCGTCCGTGCCTGGCGAAGTGGTCTGTAGTACCAGCCCGGTCACTAGTCACGGGTTGTACTGTAGACCACGTCGCATTCGAGACTTCTCAATGTTCTGTTTCATTGTGGCTGTTTGATATACTAAATCTTCGGAGAGCTAGCTGTTTCCACCTTGCAAGGTCTCTCCTCGAGTCCAGCACACAATCCATAGGCAATTACTATGTAGTATTGACACAAATTCTGTCCAAAGGTTTGAAAGGAGGAAAAGACCACTGCCCAGTAGAACACAAAGGCATGATATTCAATAAAGTTAAGAAAGATGTGAACCCAGTCATTCGCGGATACAGAGCAACATCCTGATTATGGCCACGAGAAAATATTTGAAATAGCTACAAGTTGCTCTCTGTCTGAGAATGACCGGGTCCACATTTTTCTTGTCTTTATCGAAGTTTCTAGCATGATATCCAGTATTCAGAATGCATGGACGTATTGCATAATCCCATCTGCAACAGAATTTCTGATTATCATGTCCCCACATACTAACTTGTGTAATTCGGAGGGTGCTGGAAGCGTTCAGTATCAGTGCACACTGATTCTCTTCTGAAAAGGTATGCTGGCAACGGCGTCTCTGCCTCCAGGCCGCAGTCTGAACGAGCAGAAAATATACAGCATTAAACGCAGCATTAAATGCAGCATTAAACGCAGAATTAAACACAGCATTAAACGCAGCATTAAGCAGAGCATTTTAACCCTTTGTGGACGGACTGTACGAGTTTCGATCTAATAAGATCGAAACTTCGTAACTTCGTAACTCCATCGTTTCTTGAGCAAATTCCACAATCGAAGGCTCTACGTGGTAGCGGGAACTCCAAGCTGTCCAATGCAACAATCGCCGAAGAGTTACAATGTCGGACGCCAGAGATATCACACGCCGTATTCTTACCTCGGCAAATTCAAATTTTTGATCGATCATTTCGCCATTTTGGGGGAAAATCCCTTTTCGTGTGCTCTTTGAGCGACTGAGCACATGATGATGACGTAGCCGGCTGAAGTTTGAATCGTCTCAAACAGATTTGAGCGTTCTGCGATGAAGGAGAGTGGAATGGCGTTGATGGGACGAATTTGCTTGCATATCAGGCTTGGAGACGACTTTGCTGTGTTACCGCGCCTGATTTGTGGTGGCCGGATAATGGAGATTGGTACCCTGACGTAGCTCTCGCCAAGAGCTTTCCAATGAGCTCTTGATTGTGAAAATCAAGTGAAGGACACCAAAATTATGACATGGAAAAGTTGAAAATTGTACTGACATTTTGTAATTCTGGTGCATGCTGTGCTAGTAATCCGTCCATAAAGGGTTAACCATTAATTTTGTGTACGGGCTGTACAACTTTCAATCCCCTGGGATCAACACTTTTTCTAACTTTCTAACTCACTCATACCTGGATTATGTGAATTGGGCAACAAATCAAAGTTTTGGCACACCATACATTCTCTTCCCAAAATGTAATGGACGTGTTTCTGTCAGATAATGGAATGTCACACAGCTCGTTTTGAGATAGACAGCAATTGCTCATCACCCTTGCACATGCACAGGACGAGCGTGTAGTGCAGAATTACTAGCCCGGTGATGTTATCAACAGGGTATTTTAACAGTGAGTGCGTTAGATTATGACCGCGAATCGATTCATGAATCCATTCATGAATCGATTCGCGCTATTCACATCACCCCATGTGAATAGGGTGAATGGATTCCGAATCGATTCCAGTGTCCGTGACATGAAATCAAACTGCAAGATTTCATTCATGAATCGATTCAAGTTTGTAATCGAACGCACTCACTGCTACACACTGAACAAAATCAGGTCAAGGTGAACACAGACCAACACCGGTATTCTTTTGCGCGTATTCTTTTATCATTCTGACTGAGTGTGGTGTTGGCAGGTGATCAATCCATATTCGATTTGTGACACTCACTGTCCTTACAGGGAGAAATGAGCCCCGGCCAGCGAAAATCAGCACTTGTGTACTTGATATCAATCATCAAAATGTGACGTCAAAGTTTGGGACGCGCAGTGAGCTGGCTTTTGAAGATTCTTTTTCGATCGAGTGAGTGTCTTTGTTGTCAAAGGAGTTTCAAGTGTCTTCAAATGTCTCTGGTCAATTGATTTTAGCGCTAGGTGAGAGCTCGTCACACGGAGGTTGAGTTTAGACACAGCGATGGCGACAGGTGTCGCGACAAAGACTTAGGTCCAGAGTTGTCAGCGTGAGACTCCCTGTACAAAGCGGCGCTGAAAGTTAGCCTAATTCGCGATCGTAATTATTTCTTTGGTGGCGATCTCGCTGAGTTTGTCCAGCAGTGGCGAGTCTAATATGCATAGCAACGAAGAGCCCTCATAAAATCGACACTGGATACTGGTGGCGACGATAGTCAGTGCTGGAGTAATAGCGACTGCAAGGAGAAGCTGAATGTCGACCCGCTGAGCGATCCGTATTTCTACATCGACAACAATGATGTTGCAGACGCTGATGGAGGGCTCCTCACGGTGCAAAACAGAGACTGCAAGCGTAGTGTTATCAGTACTCTACCTTGCCAGACGATGCCAAGCTGGCTGCTGCCTGTGCTGAGAAAGGGGATCCCTAAAAACTCAAACCAGCTGAACGCTTTGGGGCAACATCTTCACGTGCTACAAAACGCGAGTATTCGCTCATATCATTGAAATACAATTACGCTGAAATCATGGTGTGAGTGAAAGTGTGCAAGGGAGTGGATGTCAGTGGTATTGGTCAGTACATCTATCAGTATGGCAAGCTTTCAGACAACGCTCAAACTGCCAGCACAGAGGTCCCTGAACACAATTTGGAAGGCCAGCCACCAATCATCGTTTTGCACTCTGGTGTTTTAAGGAAGGTAGTGATGTATACGGAATATCGTCACACTTCTGAACTACTCATGCCTGCAGCACCAAGAGGGCAAGCCTGACTTGCATTCTATTTACTTACATGTACCTGTTCCACATCACAATCAGAAACTGTAGGATCAACTTGCATGGCGTCACTAGGCATGGATGCTGCGCCAACTGTACTGAATCTTGACCTGTGTGACTCCAAACTCTATTTTCCATGCTTTCGCTTATCAGATTGTCACCAAACTTGATAACTTGAATGATTAATAGTGTAGAAACAATTTCGAGGGAAAAAATAATTTTTGAAAAAATTACACATGTTCAGGTTTCTGCTGGCTGGGGCTCAAATATATATTGCCACAACCGGTTCATCAACTCTAGAATTTACCTCGTCTGCACACCACTGACATTCCAGATGCTTGACATAGCACTCGGAGCATGTTCCAGCTGACTGGCACAATGCTTGCAAACCTTCATTAGCTGGGGATTCGATTACATACATCACATACACATGCACATACACATGCATACACACACATACACAAACACACACACACACACACACACACACACACAAACACACATATACACACACACGCACAACAATATTCATTTGCTGTGAGGATCACAAAACCTAGTAAATTGGCCTCTGCAACCTTTTTAAAATCCAAACACTATTTTACAATGCCTGGCTTGAGTGATCACCACTCCTGTTTGTTCCTGTGCAGAATGCAATACATAGTCATAGGTAATACAGGTTCTCCCTCGTTATAACTAGTCCGGTTAGTACATAAACCCCGTTAGTAAATGGAAATCTGAAATCCCCTGGCGAGTGGCGAAACGTGGTCTATACAACTGTTTGCAGGTCTGGTTACAACATATTTCGTTAGACATAAAACTCGTTACAACGACCCTTTGCCCAGGTCCCTGGAGTGCCAAAACCCTCAGTATAAAATAATATTGACCATACAGGACCAAGACCAAAACACATAGGATAAAGCAGAAATGCACAACGTATTATATCTATGTATTCATAGATAGGTACGATCTTTTGCGTCCAAGAAAGAGCTCTGGTGGAGATTTCAATTATCTTCTAAAGAGTAGAAGCGTCGATGATTTATGTTCTATTGAGGGTAGCCCAGGTAAGTGCGAATTAGTGCCTATTTCACCTTTATCTGCAACTCCTGTTACAAGATATGTCTCGTTACAAGATATGTCTCGTTACAAGATATGTCTCGTTACAAGATAACTTTTTGCTGACCCAGAGATTATCTAGAAAAGAGGGAGGACCTGTACAGACATGAAGATCACTGAACAGTATGCTTGACATACTCGTAGGTAGTACAGACATGTAGATCAGTGTACACTCAAACGCCTCTTATCCGGACGCCTCAGATACGGGCACGTCTCTCTACCGGGCACCTTCAGCTTGAGTTCCTATAGCACAAATATTTCGAATTCGGGGGTTTTGAACTTTTTTTTCCGGATATATAAGTGCTCATTTTTCACTGCCAACCTGTGTTATCCAAACATTTGTATCGATGGGTTCCTTTTGCATGGGCGTTCCAAATAAACTTCTTCAAAAATGATATGATAAATTGATGGTAGATGTGTTATCATGAGATACGGGCAAATCTAAGATACGGGAAGTGCCCGGTCCCAAGGTGCCCGGATAAGAGACGTCCGAGTGTACAATATGCACTACATACTCATAGGTAGTACAGACATGTAGATCACTGTGCTGGCTTAGTGCTATGTAGTTGGGTGGTAATGCCAACACACATACATTGCTATGCTCACACATGACGGGTTTACGTGGCTCTAGTAAAAAAAAATGCTACAGTGTTGGCGTGTGGCAGCAAGACATTTGTCCGATTATGCACACACTTTCACAGCCATCAAGTTGGCTACAAGTCGACTACTATACCCCTACCCCCAGCCCCCTAAACTACATACAGTCGACTCCTGATATAACGAACACCATTGTGCAGGAGAATTAGTTCTCAAGTTTATAGCCAAAGTTCCTTAGAACAGAAATGCACTCACACCATACAAGCAGCAAGTCATGACTGGCAAGTGGCCCGTGACAGTACGAGTGCACTTGGTTTACATGCGGCCCTACAAGATTTGGTTCATTATAAACGAGAACTGTTCGCTATAAAGGGTGAATTTCGTATGGGTTCAACCAGGGACATGGACAAGGTTGAGTTTGTTAGAAGTGGAGTCGACTGTAGCAGTTAGTTGGAGCTGGCTGTGATCTCTGAACAATAATTTGTGTACACCCCATTTACTCATAACTTTTTTTTGTTAGCTGCAGTTGGAACTCCTCACAAGTCATGTCCATATAAGGTAATTGAAGTTTCTGGTGAAAATCTACAGTGCTGCTCAATGAAATCCACTTGCATCACTCAAGTTTGCGCCTTGCATCTTTCCCAGCCCAGTGTTCACAGGTCTATGGCTGAGCATCAAGACTCGATTCCATTGAACAGCACTGTGGAATGATCTCAAAGACTCACATCATCATCTTTTCCACTTCTCACAGCCATCAGGTTGAGGTGCAGGTGAGCACTACACTACTTATCACAGCAAGAAATAAGTATTTTCACTCAGTCTGAAAACTACTACGGAAACAGTTCTGGTCTCTGTGTGCTCCACAGAGTGACGCACCCTGTCCCCAAACGCCCCTTGACCTCATCTCCACACACACACACACACACTCATCATTCACACGCAGTTCATGTACTCTTCAGAGACTAGTCAATGCAGCTACTCGGCAGCTACTCCAGAAGTTTTTCTCGAACGTATTGCGTTCTGACACTATGTGATCTGCACACAGCACAACGTTGTGCATTGCCAACAACGTTGACACGAATCACCTTCGCCGCAGCCCCTGCCGTAACTGACAACGAAGACACTCACTGCATATACGACATTGGCAACAGTCAAAGTGCCCTCTAGTCTTCTCAGTGATCTTTTGACTTTGAGAAAATGACTGTAGTTGTAAGACCCGCCGAACCCCTCACGGGCGGAAGCGGAACGCAAAGGAACGCGACCTAAATCCTTCCTTTCCTTTCGAAGACCAAAATCATAGTGAAACGTGAAAATAAGAAACGTGCTAGGTTATTATTATTACTCCTAGCTAGGGATGGCAAGGCGACCTGCATGGGGACGCTGACGATATAATGCGTGCGGAAACCTTTCCATAGACACAATACATGGGCAAGGAAACAAATAATTACGAACGACTTTTGAACTACAGCAGAACCTTGACTACCGGCCACAGACACAGGCTCAACACACGGCGTGCAGAGCTCAGTACAAACGAACTAGAATGTTTCGGATATTACCACAATTACGGGTATTACTAGTATCAGTCCGCTTTCTCAGCAGTAAACAAACAATGTCTCTGCTGTTTGTGTGGTGCCTGGTGGCTCGGCAACCTCACCGGTAACAGTGCACAATACACGACAACAACGGCAGCATCAATATCGCTATGGCACGTACCTTGCCCACGGCCAGCCGATATGGCCGTTCCCAACACAAGGAGGATTGCGAGGAAGAAGGTTATCGTTGCCATCCTGACAGGACGGGGTGGACGGGATTTTCAGAAATGACGACAGGGCGCGAATGCAAGCAATTAATAGAGTGCTGCGTGGTAGCACTAGCACTCCACATCTATCGCCTCGTAATCATCTCGCTCCCGGACACGTCGACCCTGATCATTTTTGTACTGACAAGCAGCTGCCATCTTTTGCAGTTTGTTGTCTCATCGCCGTGGATTCCTGCGCCGAGTATGTCCGTCCGTGCAACACAGCCGAGTACGAGTGTCGGCAATCCGAATCTGGATGTGCGCTCGCCTTGCAGCTTTCTACGCGCACAGCAGTAAGGCACGGGCTTCTGATAGGCAGATACCCTCGAACTTACACTGCCTTTTCTTCACGAAGAGCTTCCCGCTTCGTTCTGCGGTGCACACTAAGTCACAGCAGCGTGTGCACTCAGTGCTTCAACGTAACCAGCCGCTTTAAGTTCAAGTGCAAGCGCCAAGCCTAGGGACAAGTGTTGAAGACAAGTGTTGAAGTGGACCACGGATCTCCTACACTACAGTACAGGCTACAGTGCAGTCACGAGCTTACTATCTGCAGCAGGGAGTAGTAAAATACAGTCTACTACTACTCCCTGATCTGCAGTGTGCGGATAAAGCCAACGAGGACTCAGAGGAAAATAACTACCGCTACTTACCATGCTTACCGCGCGTACTCATTAGGGGCCATCCGTAAATATCGATAGTTTTTTCAATCCGTGAATTTTACAAAGTAACCAGGACCCACCACCCACCCCCCTACTTTTTACGGAATAAAATATTGATGACACATGTACTGTACTTTTGGATGATCTCCGACCTTGCCTGATGCGGGTCTGCGGAAAACGTCTCCATCCACTGCTTCTGTGCTTTGGTGAAAAACTCAGATCGATTATAGGACGTTTCAACAGTCCACAAGGCCTCGATGACGGCGTAGTAGCCATCGTCGTCTTCACCAGGGCTGTCAAGCTCTTTGAAAAACTTATCTTTTTTGGCAGCTGTACCAAACAAAGTAGTCTGCCGTGCCATTTTCGTTAGGCCACGCTCCACATGGGAACTGTTCCAACCATTGGCGATGTAGCAATTCTTCGATGTGGAGTTCAAATAAGAGCTGGACTTGACCCGGATTAATCAGGTATTGTGATACTTCGAATAATTGTGCAATAATTATACTTGTGAATAATATCTGACAAACTTCCCTCTTTCTTTTGCTTCAAGAGTTTCGATCTCCACTACATTTTTTGGAGACAACAATCCACGTGTACGTGTGGTTCGACGCACGCAGACCTACGCACACGTAGTACTGGGCGCCAGGTCCGCGTGTCATCGAATTTACTTGTCTTTGAATTTCGGCTGCACCCACCACCCAGGTACGAAAATTTCACGGATTGTAAAAACTATCGACATTTACGGACGGCCCCTTACTAGTATTCCTACAGTGCTGGCAACCGAATTGATCCATTATAGCGACCAGTGTTCGTTTATAACGGACGAAAATTTGGTTTGTAATTGTAGCTAGGCCTGCATGTACACCAAGTGTATGCATGCTGTCATGGTCCACATATCAGTCAATCCGACTCCGGACTTGCTGCTTGTATACCGCATTACCGGTAGTGTGAGTGCATTTCTGATGTAACTAACTTGTAGAAAGAACTAATTCTCCTGCATAGACAGTGGTGGTCGTTACATCAGGAGTCGACTGTGGAGAGGACGTGCAACCATGCCTCCCCTAATTTCCTCTAAAATTGTAATCTCCTGTCCTCGGGGAAAGTCATGCTGGTGCATAATGTTCCGCGATTTTCACAATCTCTTAGAAATCTTCGAGCTGTGCATTTTTCCAATAAGTTTTAGTGTTACCAAAATATGGAAGCGTGCGTGCATCACATTGATCGAGTTCTTGACACTCGGGGTAGTTCTTCAGTTATACCTTTCTTGTGCTGGTCTTTCCTAGCTAGTGTGACAGTGCATGTAGAATCATCCCGCATAGCAGTAGGGCAGTGGTTATGTGTGCGTGTGTGTATGTATGGGGAATGACCATTGAAGGGCATGGCAGCCTCATTCAGCCACAGGGTACAGTATATCTGATCCATGCACGTGATTGTTTGTGTGTGTATGCGTAGGTTCGTATGTTCTCTCTCACACGCATCCAAGTTCTTTGTCTACGACAATGGTGTCGAGTCCTGTACAATGAAATCATCGCGTCACTGAAGTTTGCGCCTTACACCATTTTGCAGCCCAGTGTTTGTAGGTCTAGGGCTGCGCACCGCCCGGCGTGTTCTTGAGTGACACGACTGGAGTTCATTGAGCGGCACTGTACATGTTTGATGGACATATTGCACCATGACCCCATAAGTGATGGAGGGGGGGGGGGGGGGTATAGGCTTTTTGGTACTCTACATGGTTCGGCCTGTACCGTTTTGTGCGTGTGTGTGTGTGTGCACACAACATGACTACTACAGTAAAACTCCCCGTTATCCGGACGCCCCTATTCCAGGCACGTAGGTCTACCGGGCAACTTTCGTACCTATCTAGAGTCACGAGTAGCTTCTCAACGAAAAACGGTCCCCAAACCATTTGATTGGAATACTAAAGTGTTTACTTGCATGCAGCGAGTACGTATGTTCCGAGTTACAGGCAATTCCTACCTACGGCCAGTGCACTGTCCTGACATGCCCAGATTAGAGAATTTTTTTTAAATATCACTGTCATTATGCTCTTGCCAGCTATCTTGAAGCTTAGCATTTTACTGTCCTGCTTGATCTGTGTATACGACATCATGAGGAAGCTGAGGGTATGCCATTGTATACGATTCAAACGCATCGCATAATATTCTAAACCAAGCAGGAACTCCAATCACAGCTTGGTACATTTCCAGCAAGTCCACACGGGCTAGCAGGCAAATGACACATTTGGTACTTCCCATATCATGAATACAGTCATACATGTATCCATTTACATACATGCACCTATAGTGACGTCACGATTCAAGATGGCGGCACACCCTGGAAAATTTGGGCATGGGTCTCCCAGTAGTATGGTTTTGGGGACCCGCAGGCCTTTGGTTAAATAACTCATGAATATGTTGATGCTTACCTCCCCCTCATGAATTTCATGCATTTTATGTCTGCTGTCATAGTCAGCTCCATCCATGTGGATCTCTGGCCCAAGTTTGCAAGTCACCGAGATTTCTAGATTCAAAATTACGATTTATGGTGGAGAGATGGGAATCTCCCAACAGAAATCGTGATTTTCAAATCCAAAACCTGCTGTGATTCGCAACACCAAACCATAAAGCCAACTGCATTGCACTACAAAGTACAGCAGTTGAAATCGCACAACAGTGCCATGACGACAAACTAACATGCTCCCTGATGCCAACCGACACTAAAGTGACGGACATCCAAAAGAAAATTTCCTTACAATAGTACAACTAAACAAACCCACAGTAAAACCCTATCCCGCTATCCCCATGAGAGTGACCAGTGTTCTGTTCCAGTCCTGGATAGCCAGCCCCACAACCCTCCTCTCTTTCTGACGGATGACGATGGTCCTGCCAGCACCACACTTGCGACGAATCTGCTCGCTGATTGAGCACCCTGCACTTTACATCGGACATTGCGGCAAGCATGGCGAAACGACAATCTATCCATGAAAGAAACAACTCAGTCGGTGGGTAACACTGTACACCTGCGGTTTGACTATGTATGCCATCACATGACTACAAAGGTGTGCATGTTCTTTCCAGGCAGATTTCAAGAAATTCCAAATCCATATGCACACCGGGAACCAGGTGTGAACCATCATTATAACAAGCTATCTTTGCTGCAGCTGGGGAGGGGAAAGATTCAATGCCAGAGAGGAGTGGGCTTCAAACCATATTGATATACTAGACATTAGAAGGATACCACAAAAATGGTATAGGACAATATTCACCTAGTAATAATTGTGATTGCAGCTGACGCAGGGACAGCAGCCAAAGTGTGCTGAACAAGACACTAACACATGCACAAAGAAAGACTGGCTATTTACCTGAGAGGCAGCTGGGTGGGGATGCTTCTGCCGGATCCCCACCCTGGCCCGATGACCGTGACTACACCTGCGTTGACTAGGGCGCGATGGCTGCTGCGACGGCTGCGGCGGTGGTGGTGGCGAACTGCTAGGAGGTAAGGGCAGTGTTAATGGGGTTAGACATGAGATACCTAGACTATGCACACCATGCAACACACACTATGCACACCATGCAACACACACTATGCACACCACGCAATGCCACCACAGCACAGCAACACACCACGGCGCAGCGGCAACAGCAACACACCACAGCGCAGGGGCGGCGGCAGTAGCCACACAACACTCCTCGCCATGCACCCCAACTCGCGTCCAACCCCATGCACCCTCATGCACATGCAATCCCCCATGCACATGCAAAGTCTATTTAACCCTTTTTAAATGCATGCATACTACCATCTCACCATACTTATCTGTTGTGCAGCACGCTGCAGACCAGTCTTGATGTCCAGTGCCTAGGAGGGAATGACAGTGATTAGAACAATTGCATGCCCCGCCTCTGAATGGGTGGACACATGCAGGGGACTGCAAACTTCACCCCTGGAGAAGGGACCAAATAATGGACAAGAACTAGTATTGGGGCCACAAGGGAGAGAAAAAGGTCCACCCTGGAAATGCATCCCTGAATGTTGTCAAGCAAAGGGTCTAGAAATTGCACTTTCCATACATGCATTTTCAAAACCCCTCAATTTTCAAAAGTCTTGAATTTGAACCCCTAGGTGCACAACTCCTTGCAGTCATACAGTCTTGCAACGCAAAGTAGCGACTTGGACGAGGGCCATTAAACCATTGTAAGGGGCCAAGGCATGCAACTACAAGGGGAAACTAGTTTGGAGGTAGGGAATGCGGAAATTCCGGTCCTTATAACCCTGGGATGTCTCTATGGTGTTAGTGGTGAGGAGGGTTGCTATAGCATGCACCCTACCACTCCCTTCATTCTGTGTTACTCCCCTTACACTTACTATGGTGGTGGGCGATCCCACCAGGTCCACAACGAGCTGCTGAGGAATGGCAGTGGTTAGTTCATCACACACCCCACCCAGCAAGAAACCCCATGCATGCAACTACACACTGGGGCAGGAAGGGAGGGAGAGGGTGAACATTGCCCTGAAAATGGAGGACAAACCTTGGGAAAGGTCAGCAAATCTTTACTGAAAGTTGAATTGTAGCCATGAGAGAGATTCAAGTGGCCACGGGAAGCACTCCCTTGTCAGGGTTAAAAAGATCATGCAGGTTGTGTTGCAGTTACGA